GGGAGGAGGAGGAGGAGGAGGAGGAGGAGGAGGAGGAGGAGGAGGAGGAGGAAGGCGGGAAGAGGAAGTGGCAGGAGGAGGCAGGAGGAGGAGGATGATGAGGGAGGGGCTGACCCGCCAGCGGGGACTCATCGACGGGTTCGGAGTATATGCATCGGCGATGAGGCTCGATGTGGAGCCCGATTTTCTCCACGCCAAGGTCGCCGTTGAATCGCCGACGCCGCCGCTGTTTTGCCGATGCACAGGTGGTGCATCGACGATGCGGCGTGCGACACCAGCTGGGCGGCCTCGAGACATGGATCTGGCGCTTCGGCGCCAGCCAGATTCATGGGTCGGGTAAGGGTCCCCCGAAACTTGAGGCAGGTGCCGCCTGATTTGGCGACGGAGCGCACCGATTCTGTACGGAAGCGGAGGCCGTCGCTGAGCCAAGCATCGCCAGTTCATGCTTGCGGTGCTCCGATCCAGGAGAGGAACAGGGGGCCACTGCCCGAGCGTCGTCCGGCACTGGGTGACGCTCAGGCGTGCCACCGCCGCCCAGGGGTCGTCGACCTTTGGGGGCCGCGCGGGGCGCGCCTGGGTATGTTTGGTGCGCCATCCCCCGCCCGTGGCGTCGGCGACGCTGGGAGAGCTGGCCCTGCTGGCAGCGCGGAGGCGGCCGGGGGTCGACCGTCGCAGGTTCTTGTTCCCTTCGGCTGTGAGCGCACGAGTGGATCGTGGCTGCGAGTGCGAGTGGGCCGTGCCCCACCGCCCCCCCCGATGAGTTCTCGGTGGCGATGGTCCCCCGTCTCTCCGCCTGAAGCCTGGGGCGGATTGACTCTGACGCGAGTCCTGCGTTTCTCCTCGGTGTCGTCGGCCTTTGGGGCCGATCCCAGGCCCTGGGACAGTCGAGCTCAGCTCCGCAGTGAAGCTGGACTGCCGCTGGTGGATTGGATCGAGAGCCCGCGAGCGCGCATGCGGAACGGCAAACTGAGACATGGGAGGTTGGTTGTATGTGGGGCTTGCGTCACAAGTGGCACGCGGCACAGGGCCAGAACAGACTGGGCATGCAGGGGCAAGAGCGCTGACGAGTCGTGCCCCCCTTCAGGGTGATAGGGGAGGACCCTCCTCCTTCTCCTCCTCCGCCTCCTCCTCATCATCATCATCGTCGTCGTCGTCATCATCATCATCATCGTCATCGTCATCGTCATCGTCATCGTCATCATCATCATCATCATCATCATCATCATCATCATCATCATCATCATCATCAATATCATCATCATCATCGTCGTCGTCGTCATCATCATCATCATCATCATCATCATCATCATCATCATCATCGTTACCATCATCATCCGGGAGGTTTTTGGATACGTTTGGTGGCTCCAGGAGGGCTCTGCCGGCATTAGGTGCTCAGATGATTGTGGGGGTTCTGGGAAGGTTCTACAGGGTTCCGACGGAGGTTTTGCGGGGAGGGGCTTTGAGATGCGAGGAGGAGCTATGAGGGATGAGGGATCACGGATCACGAGAAAGGAAGAAGGGGCCGAATGAGAAAACGTCTGTCGGTTCACGCGGGGGTTGTGGGGGGGAGAACGCGGAGGGCGATCACGACGACGCGGAGGAGGGCAAGTTTTTGGACCCCGTTGGCACTTCAGAGCGTCTTCTTCTTCCCCATCCTCTCTCCTTACACACCTCCTCATAAGACCGTCAACGTCCTTCTTGTCGTAATTATCCCCTTGCTCATCAGCCTTATGTTTTTCCCAATCATGTGGTGTTGGGTCCTCGTTTTTTTTAAAAGGTAATGCCACGCATTCCTTCCTTCCTTCCTCCTCCCCCCCTCATCCCATCCCTGCTCCTGCCCTGCATATGCCGGCACCAGCGACAGGATCCGCATAGCGTACCCGCACCCGATTCGGCAAACCCATCGCACGTTTCGTGGCCCCAGTGAGAGCCCCACCGAAGCCCCCAGCGGCAGGGTCCGCCTGGCGTGCCCGCACCCGATTCGGCACACCCCTCGCACGTGTCGTGGCCCAATATGCAGCCACACCGAAGTCTCCAGCGTCAGGGTCTGCATGGCGTACCCACACCCGGTCCGGCACACTCCTCGCAAGTTTCGTGGCCCACAGGGAGCTCCACCGAAGTCCCCAGCTGCAGTGTCCGCATGGCGTACCCGCGCCCGATTCGGCACACCCCTCACACATTTCTTGCCCGACAGGGGGCCCCGCCGAAGGCCCCGGCGGCAGGGTCCGGATGGCGTGCCCGGCACCCGATTCGGCACAACCCTCACACGCTGGCCCCATGAGGAGCTTCTCCAGAGGCCCCAGCGGCAGGGTCTGCGTGGCGCACCCGCACCTGATCCAACACATCTCTCACACGTACCGTGGCCTCACACGGAACCCCACCTCAGGCCCCAGCAGCAGGGTCCGCATGGCGTGCTGGGCACCAGATCCGGCACAACCCTCACACGCTTCCAATCGGGAGCTCAATCGAAGGCCCCAGCCGCAGGGTCAGCATGGCGCACCCGCACTCGATTCAGCACACCACGCGCAGGTTTCGTGGCTCCATAAGGAGCTCCACCGAATGCCCCAGCTGCTGGGTCCACAGAACGTACCCTGACCCGGTCCGGCACATCCCTCACACGTTTCGTGGCCCAAGTGGAAGTTCAGCTCCACCGACGTCCCCAGCGGCAGGGTCCGCTTGGCGCGTCCGCACCCGATTCGGCACACCCCTTACATTTTTCGTGGCCTCATAGGGAGCTCCACCGAAGTCTCCAGCGTCAGGGTCCCAATAGACTTCCCTCACCCGGTCTGGCACACCCTTCACAAGTTTCGTGGTCCCACATGGAACTCCACCCAAGGCCCCAGCGGCAAGGTCCGCATGGCGCACCCGCACCCGAAGGCAGCTCCACCGAAGGCCCGATCAGCAGGGTCCGCACGGCATTCCAGCACCCGATTTTGCACACCCCTCACACATTTTGTGGCCCCATGGAGCTCCACCGATGGCCCCAGCGGCAGGGTCCGTCTGGTGATCCCGCACCCGATTCGGCACACCCTCCGCAGGGCGTACCCACGCCGTACTCGGCACACCCATCACACGTCTCACGGCCCCGAAGTGAGCTCCACCGGAGGCTCCGGCGGCAAGGTCACATTGCGTACCCGCATCTGGTTGGGCCCACCCCTCACACATGCCATGGCCCCATAAGGAGCTCCACCGAAGGCCCCAGCGGCACGGTCTGCGTGGCGCATCCGCATTCGTTTCGGCTCACCCTTCACACGTGCTGTGGCCCCATAGGGAGCTCCATCCAAGGTCCAAGTGGCAGGGTTCGAATGGCGCAGCTGCCCCATGTAGGCACACCCCTCACTCCTCCCCCCCATTCTTCTCACTTGCCTGGCTGTACCCGCAGCGTCATATGGTTGGGCCCTCTGCCTGGATAATTTGTCTGGTGTGTTGCATCGGCTTGCCCGTCACACGTGCGTGTGCCTGCGAAGGCGGTTGCGTTTTATGTATACCTGCTCGGGTCAGATACCCGACGCTCCGCAGAGCTCGTCCGAAGAAGAGGTCAGGCCACGAGAGAGTGATGCGCGGTTGTCCAGCAGTGGATCCATGTTTGGGCGAGGGTACATGCCTTAACGTACTGAGGGTATTATCATTCACTGATGTCCTACTTGCAGTATCAATAATTTGTTATCTTGGTCACCCAGCACTCGGTGTCGAAGCCCCAATGAACGCTAACCTCTTTCCTACTTTTATGCGACTACCCACTTATGGCGAACGGTGTGCATCTGTTTCTAATGGCAGCCGCGGGCGATCCAGAACGGGAGAGTTCCCGAGGGCACGGATCGAGTGCCACCCAGCTCAAGGCTTGGGGCTTGGGCGGGCCTCATATATACGCACACGTGGGGAAGTGCGTGTTTGTGCGTTGGGGTGTGTGTGTGTGTGGTGTCTGGTGTGTGTGGTGTGTATATGTGTTGGTGTGTGTGTGCGTGTGTGTTGTGTGTGCGTGTGTGCGTGTGTGTGTGTGTGCTGTGTGTTGTGTGTTGTGTGTGTTGTGTGTGTTGTGTGTGTTGTGTGTGTTGTGTGTGTGTGTGTTGTGTGTGCTGTGAATGTGTCTTGCGTGTGTTGTGTGCGGTATGTTGTGTGTTGTATGTTGTGTGTTGTGTGCTTGTGTGTTTGTGTATAGTGTGTTTGTTTGTGTTTGTGTGTTTGTGTGTGTGTGTGTGTGGGGGGGGCCCAGGTCTGGGGCTTTTGGGGCTTCGGTGCGGGCCCATTTGGAGTCCCCCGATCGATGAGCGCGATGCGACAGCAGCGGCCTGCGTGCTCGGGTTGGGCTGCCCGCCCCCCCCCGCCCCAAGCAAAGCCGCGCACCGCAGGTCACCACTGCCAGGCCTTCCTTTAGCGTGTGCGGTGGCTTCGTGTCGTGGCGACGCAGCGGCGTCCCGAGCGTGAGCCCTCCAGGTTGAACGCTCCGAGATACTAGGGGTCAGCCGACGTCGGAGGATCTGCTCGATCGGAACGTCGCGATCGTTCAAGGTTGAGCGAACCCCACGCTGGTCAGGAACCATCGCAACAGTCGTCACGGCGCGAACCTGCCGTAGCCGGTCATGTGTGGGGGCGCCAGGCCAGCAAGCAGTCGTTCTGGTCATTCACCATCGAGCTCAGCAGGATGCACTCGCGCAGCGGCGGCAGCGTCTTCGGGGAGGCCCCCGAGCCGCTGCTGGAGCTGTGGGTGGCGGCTCTCGTGGAGAGCGCCAGGACATGCGCCCTGGCGGGGCCTTCCAAGAAGGCGGGTGGGGGCTTCTGCGAAGGCGCGGGCCTTCCCCTAAGGAGGGCCCGGGGGCTCGAAAGTCAGAGGAGAGGACGCATACCCACAGCCCTCGTCGCCACCGCCGGATTCGCCTCGAAATTCCCGTCAGAACGCTCCCCGGGAGAGGTCCGGGGGGAGTAGGGTATTGCTACTTGCTTGTCTCCCCAAGGAAGATGGACGAGGAAGGAGGAAGGAGGAAGGAGGAGGAGGAGGAGGAAGGAGGAAGGAGGAAGGAAGGAGGAGGAAGAGAAGGAGGAGGAGGAGGAGGAGGAGGAGGGGAGGAGGGGGAAGGATGAGGAGGACGGAGGAAACGAGGAGGAGGAGAAGGAGGAGAAGGAGGAGGAGGAGGCGGAGGACGGCAAGGATGGTGCTGCCTGGGAGGGCCTCTTCCAAGCCGCAAGGGCTTCCAGGGAGGCTTTCTGCCTTATTTGGAGGCTCCCTGATGTCTTAGATGCCCTGCCCCCCCCCACCTTTGAGGGTTATTAATTCCCAGAAACGGCTTGGGCCCAGGGTTCTCTGATGTAGGCGCGAAACTGGTGCCCAGTGCCTCTACTGAAGAAGGCCGTTGGATTTTGTCCCGGATCAATCACGAGTTCGAGGGAGGCGAGGCCGGCGGATCATTCCCAACCATCTTTTGGTGTTGGGTATTCGTTCCGAAGAGAGACATCGCCCCGCGTCACTCCTTGCTCCTCCTCGTCCTCCTCCTCCTTCCTCTTCCTCGACTTCCGCATGTCAGGTGCAGGAGTGGAGGTGCAAAGTTTCTTGGGCCAGCAGGGCTATGCAACGTGTAGCCCGTGGAATTGGGAAGGAGTGCTCGCAATATGGTTTGAGAGAGTAGGGGATGTAGAACGGAGGGGGCGGAATTTTGGACGCGGCATTGCCTTTTTGGTGATGGCCTGCTTAGCTTGCCTGTTATGTCACATGCCGGTGTTCCAGGGGCGTTTGGCCCCGGGCGGGCACACTCTCCCAGAGTTCCCCCTCTCCACCCACCTGGGAACCCTCTCGGGCCTCAGGGGACAGCAGGCCTTTTTGTGGGCTGAAGGGTTCAGCGATTGCTTACGAGGACGGCAAGGAGGAGCCGCCAAGACGGCCCACGAGCGTTCCAACACGCCAAAGATGGCCGCCCTACGCAAGACGACCCAAGAGGGCTCTAAGAAAGGCTCCTCAGGAGAGCCCGAAGAGGTTGATATCATGTATTTTCGTATATTTTCCAACGATTGTAGCGTTCTCGCATCTTCGGGCGTCCGACGCTCCCAGACGGATCCATGAGCCCCCAATATCGCCCGAAAACAGCATCCCGCAAGACGGCCCAAGAGGGCCCCAAGATGGCCCCAGTTATGGCCCCACAGACTTCCAATACGGTTTTAAAGCGCCTAGAGATTGCCCAGAGAGGCACCCAAAGAGGCCTCCGATGGCGAAGAGGCCCCTCCCTCAGAGACCCCCAGAAACTCCGCGTAGGTCCCCAAGAGGCCCCAGGAGGCCCACGATGTCCCTGGGAGGCCCCGCAGAAGCCCCGAAAAGGCTGCTAGGAAGCCCTCGGGGGGCCCCAGGAGCCCAAGAGGGCTTCAAGAGGCCACCTCTTCCTCTTCCTCCTCGTCCTCCGTACGCCCTGGAGCACATTCGGTGCAGATGAGTCTGCCCGCCGACTCCGCCAGACCCCGCCCCCTCCAAATCGGACGGGCTAGGCTCTCAGGGGAGGGAGGGGACTCGGGAGGGGCAGCGCTTTCTCACGCTGAGGAGCCTCTCAGGAGTCGGCGAGTTTGGGGGGGTCTCTGGGAGCCAGCCGGTTCAGGAGCCTCTTGGCCGACGACAAGAGGAACCTCAAGCACGTCCTGGACTTCTACGGCGGAGACACGGAGGCGGCCTCGCAGGGCCAGTGCCAGCATACCTGCTTTTGCGCTGACCAGCGATCGATTTGTTAGGTTGGGTGCTCAGCTTCGTCTCGTCTCACCCGAAGCCTACCGCCGTAGCCTTCTCCATCGCTTCCTCCGCCGCGTACCCCCAGGCTCGCCAGCGATACAAGGTACTGGAGGTACTGGAGGTACTTCGAAGGGTAAGTTCTTAGAAGCCACCACGGTGGCAGACACATGCATGAGGCATGGGCCAAGGACGCCCGGAGCCTGCGACGGCGATGTGGAGCTGTACTAAACAAGGTGGGCGTCTTGGCTCAGCACGCGGTGCGATGGTCGGGGGAGCACAAAGCGTGGGTCGATGATATTGGCTGGACTTACCATGAGGACTCCCCCACCTGGCAAGCTTCCAGGAGGAAGGACCAGGCACCAGCGACCACGGTGCTGGACGCTGATAGTAGTGAGGCGGATGAGGTTGAGGCGGAGAAGTGAGAAGGGGCGGGCCTTCTCAGAAGGCTGGGAAGTCCCCCAGCCTCTTGAGAAGGTTTCCTAAGCCTTCCCCGATGACACCCCAAACGTCTCAGGAGGCGCGAGGGCTTCTGAGAAGTCCCGCCGCCTTCTGAGAAGGCCTTCTCCTTCTCATTCCCCCCCCCCTTGGAAGGAAGCCTCCGGCACCTTCCAAGACGCACCGGCCTCCTTACAGGATGCTGTCCGCCCTCGCCCCCTCCCCTCCTGGGCCGCGCCGGCGAGCCCTGTCGGCAGGCGCGGGCACCTCGGTGGATCAGCACCGAACGCAGAGGAGGCCATGAACTCGGCCTCGCTCGGACGTGTGCACTCTTTTCTCGGCGAGGGCCATCGATCGAAGAACAAAAATACACGTAAGCATGAAATTTCGGCTCTCCGGGCTGATCTCTTGGATCTGCGCTGGGGCCCCCCTGGCGGCGCCTCCGGCGCCGCCCCTGGTGCGCTCCGCGCGCCTGGGCGCAGATCCAAGAAATCTGCGCGAAGCGCCAACTGTTTATGTTTATGCCGTTTGTTCTCCTCCGAAGGATTGCAAAAAAACCCGTTGCACGAAGGATTGCCAAAAAAACCTCGTTCAAAGCATTGCACAAAAACCCTTCGCTTGAACGAAGGATTGCAAAAAAAAACCCTCGTTCAAAGGGTTTGTTTTGCAATCCTTCGTTCAAGGGTTTTTTTTTGCAATTCTTCGTTGCAATCCTTCGGTCGAGGAGCACGTTGGATCATCTTGCGGGCAACACCCGCACGAGACCAGCACACATCACACGGGGAACGGGCGCCCGAGCGCTGGGCGAGTGGAGCGGGGTGCGTCGCGCGTGGGGGCGAGCGTCGGCGGCGGCGGCCAACGTTTCGCGGCCTCGCCCCCCCTGACCCATCAGTTTCCCAGGTGACGTTCCGCGTGCCGGAGATGGATGAGGATGAGAGCGCGAGGAGGCGTCTCGCCCAGAGCGAGGGCTCTTGTTCTTCATGCATCTCGAGCTGAGGGAAATGCGTTGCTTATCATCTTCCCTCCACCCCCCCACCCTCGGCGGTGACGGCTGCGATGACGAACACGACGACAACGGCGGCGCCGACGCTGACACCACCACGTGGGTTCAACCCTCAGCTAGCGCTACCAACCGCGAGCAGGCCTGGCATCATGTAGTGGGTTGTGCAATGAACGTCTGGAGAGGAGGGATATGCACAAGATCTTGCACAAACTACGACGCCACTGCCGACGACGGCTACGATGAAGACGCCGACGCCAACGACCGACGAAGATGACGACGGACAAGGACGACGAATGGCGACGGTGGCGATAGACGGCAAACGAAGACGCCGACGACGGACGACGACCTCGGACAACGACGACGGCGACGGCGGAATACAGCGGGGGGCAGGCGGGCCTGAACGGCCTGCGCCAGTGCTTCTCCGCCTTCGGCGCCAGGAGCTGCGCTCGGCCTCGCGCCCCGCGGCGGGCGCGGCTGCCCTTCTCTCCCCAGACCTACCCCGCTCAAATCTGGCATATACCGGAGAACCTGGCCCCGGGGCCCCCGAACCGAGGACCAACAGGGCCGGCTACACATAGGAGCGACCCTTCGCCAGAGTGAACTTCGGTGCGCGCTCATCGGGGTCCCCTCGGTCGCTCAGTGGCTGCTTCCGCGATGCGTCAGCGGCTGCTTGCTCGCCTGGATTTTGCCACCTTGCGCCACCTTAGTCCGCGCACCAAAGGCCACTCATGCCTGGGGTCACTCATGCGCGTAGCCGACAGGGGCACCTGATATACACCAAGTCCCCCCTCCTCCCCCCGGGAAGAGGGCGAGAGCTCTGGGTCCTCTTCCTCCTCCTGGCGGACATGGGTTAGTGAGACATCGTTAGGACGCTGGGTACACAAGGTGTGTCCAGCCTGGACGCGAGCTGGATACACGTGTGTCCGGATGTCTTGCCGGCGCCTGGCCCTTCTGTGTAAGTGTAGCTTGGCTTTCCGCATGTGTATCCAGGGGGTGGCCTCCGAGTGTTCCGTCTGTGAATCGAGCTACGTTCGATGCCAGCCTCCTGGCAGTTTTGGGCACCTCCCTGGAGCCCACCCCACCGAACGGATCTGGTCGACTCCAGGTCGAGACTGGCTCGACCCATGCCGACGGACGCTCGACGGACGTTCGACGCAGCATCGTCGCATGAGTGGAGCGAGTGGCTCCAGGAACCCTGAGATCCGACGTAGCGAGACACACGCAGCATCGTGGAGCATCACAGCCGCCGCCCCGGACCCCCTTCTTGCCGCGCCATGTTCCGAGACGCATGGGCCCTGGGGCCCGCGACCCGGCGAAGACGCCCAGCTCGTACAAGTGGAGTCGCCAGAGCGAGCACCTGCGGTCGGGACCATTTAGATAGAACGTGTTGTTCCGCCGGTCCTTCGCGCGGCCGCCCTCGTCTTCGCCTCTCTCTCTCTCTCGCACGCTGGACAATTTGCCTATTCTTTGCCCCGATTCGCCACGCGCTGGTGCGGACTGCCTCTGCCTCGCCGCCGACGAAAAGAAGAGTGTTGCGCCGCTGGTTCTGGCCCTCCGCGCCGCGGTGCGACACGCTGTCCACGTCGCGGCCCCGAGGCGTTCACTGTGCCGAGCTCTTCCGAGCCTCCCGCCTCGCGCAGCGGAGCGCCGCGCGATCCGCTCGCAGGTCTCAGCATGTCGCCGGGACCGCCGGGGCGATACGCTTAGGTCAGGCGTGTCTTCCTACAGGCGGATTTTGGACGAAAAATTAGAATTATTCAAACATGATTCAAAATTGCAAAAAAAATAGTAAGAAAATCGTCCCCACATGATTTTCTGACTATTTTTGAATACTCCTCCTGTAGAGGGACGTGCTCGACTGAACGATACGCCAGGCAGACATTCCCGACCGTGGCAGGGGCCGAGCAGGGTTTGCTCTGCGGGAACCTCTGGGCGTCGAGGCCCCGCTCCAGCTTGCCGGCGCCTGCCCAGGCACGGAGGGCGCAGCCGCCGCGTGTGCGGGCCACGACGCGCCACTGGCTGCCATCATCGGAGGAGTCGGAGGCCTAGAGGTTCACACCAACACCAGTATCGGCGGCGTGCCTCCACTGAGGGACGATGATCCCGATCGCGGTGATGGTGGTAATGCCTTGGCTTGCCAGGTGGCCGAGGTGTTAGCACCAACGCCAAAATCCAGGATCGTGTTCCCAGGATGGCGGCACACTCTGGTGCTAGTGCTGGTGCCTAGAGGAGGAGGAGGAGGAGGAGGAGGAGGAGGAGGAGGAGGAGGAGGAGGAGGCCCGATACGCCCCGCCCCCTTACTTTCGAACCCGTAAGAGAGAAGGGCCCAGCAGCAGTCCACTCAGAGCCGGGGCCCTGGGCCCCGTTCCTGGAGCCCATCTTGGCCCGCTCTTTCGACCCAGGAGGACAGTTATCGGGTTGGGAGGATGGGTTTGGGAGACATGAGGATATTCTTACCCGTGCGCGGCCGAAGGTATCATTCGTTGAATCCGATGTTATCGCTGATACCCTTTATCCTCGCAACCCCTTCCTCCCAACACGAGACTTGTTCTCCTCATCGAGGCGGATCCAGCCGTGGAGACGAGAAGCCTCCAGGATGTCCAAAGAGGGCGGGAAGACCTGCAGGGAGGGCCGCTGTGATCTCGGCTGGCCCTCCGCCAACGGTTCCGCGGAGGCGGATCGGGCCGTGGCAGCGAGAAGCCCCCCAGGATGCGGCAAGAAGACGAAAAGGTACAGCTGGTACTGCAGAAGGGGGGTGGTGGAGGGGGGCCTGGCGGTGAGGCCCGGCATGACATCTGGACCTGCACAGCCTTCTCGCCCCAGCGCCTGTGTGAAAAGGCGGCGCATGCGAGGGAGGGAAGGGGGCAGGGGGGGTGGGGCGGAATGCCATGCAAGCAAGCCTGCGTGAGCCTGGAGTGCAGCACCCTCTCGAGTCTCTCGGGAGGGCCGCAGGCTGCTCCGTGAGATCGCTCGGACGTGGGTGTATTCTTTCTCGACCAGGGGCCATCGAGGAGCATCTTGGGCCATCTTGCGAACAACATACACATGTTTTTCGTCGGCGGCGAGGCAGAGCCAGTCCGCACCAGCGAGCGGCGAATCGGGGCAAACGATAGGCAAATTGTCCCCCGTGGAAGAAGAGGAAGAATATGAAGAACACAACATTAAAAAGCAAGGGGGAGGCCGACAAACGCACGGGGACTGGACGGCCGAGCGATGGCGCACGCCGGAGGAACACCCCGCCGCTGCCACGGGGCCGCTGGCACGGGCGCCTCGAGCTCGGGGGCGGCGCGCGGGGCCTCTCCGCTGCTGCTCCCGGCCCCAACGGGCACAGCACCGGGGGGGGTTCGCCTCCGCCCCCGGGGGGCGGCCAAGAGGGGGGGTGCTGTTCAGGGAGGAGGAGGAGGAGGAGGAGGAGGAGGAGGAGGAGGAGGAGGAGGATTTTTTTGGATTGCACATCTGATTCGCCTGGGGAGGAGGAGGAGGAGGAGGAGGAGGAGGAGGAGGAGGAGGAGGCGGGGGGGAAATATCATGGCGGGGGCCATGATATACGCTCAGAGTTCGTGGCGCCTCTTCCTTTCTCAATGCGTTCCCTGGCCCTCCCCACCCCCGGCCGCGCACATGCCGCCCCCATGAGTTGCGCCCCCCTCCCTTGGACGCCCCCTTCTCGGACGTCCTGGGTCTCCCAGAGGTGGGCACCTCCGTACAAGGAGAGGGGATGGGCAGTGGGCAAGTGAGGGGAAGCTCCAGAATAGGCCTCGCTTTCCCAGGGTTTCAGGAGGTTGACTTCACTTCTTCGGCAGAAGGCGGCGGAACTGAAACAAGTCCGCCCACGCTGGCAGAAGGTTGGCAGAAGGTTGGCAGAAGTAAACATTGTCGACTACACGTAAGGGTGACTTTTCGTTGGAGTGACCTTTGGTGCGGGCCCAATGGGGTCCCCCGATCGCTGAACGCGATGCAACAGTAGCGTCGTGCGCGCCCGTGTTTGGTCCCCCCTGCTGCACCCCAGAAGCCGCGCACCACAGGTCACTCTTACCCAGGGTCACTATTGCGTGTAGTCGATACTGGCCCTCCGAGATCTGTCCAGAATTTTGCGTTCACGGTTTCTGGAGCCGTCCAGCTGGGCATGCGATGGACACCCTTGCAGCGGGGCGGCGGGAGGTTAGATGGGCATTTGTCAGCGGGCGAAGAACGGTATTCAATAAACTATTCACCCGTCGGGGCGCCTGCCCCCTTGGCGGCTGGAAAGTTTATACCCCTACGTGGCACCGCAGGGGTATAAACTTTCCAGCCGCCTGCGGGGCAGGCGTCCCCGACGGGTGCAAAGCTTACTTTTACCGCTCGTCGCCCGCTGAGCGGCCGGCCCCCCGTGCAGGACGCAGTGGTTCGAGGACCTCGCGGTGTTTCGGCACCTGGTGGCCCTGGCGGCTTCGGACGAGCAGCTGTTCAGGACCGGTCTGGGGCCCGCCCTCGAGCTCAGTCCTGGACTCGGGACGTCGCGAAAAGCTCTCCCCAGGGTTCTGTCCTACGAGTGGTGATCATAGCATACGTATGTACAGACATGGGCTCGCGGCCTGGACACCGTAGCGCGATCCCATGGTAGCGCGATCCCATCCCGTGTGTACGTTCCGCGCGAGGCATCCACACAACACACCGCTTTGTTGCATTAGGATCGCGACCGAGGAGTCTGGACAGTGGCGCCGTGGATATGTAAACTGTCAATATATGTTGCTCAGCGTGTCACGCAGCCAGCTTTGGTCCCCCACGCTTCAGCCCGACACGCTAACCACGTCCCCGTCCCCGGCTGTCAACGTTCCCAGCCTTTCCTAGCCTCCAGTTCCACGCAGCAGAGCGACCTGCTACCAGCGTGCAAGGCATGGCGTGTCGTAGGGGCCGCCGCCGCGACACGCTGAGCAAAAGTTCCTGACCGTATGTTTCTCGCCCATGAGCATGAAGTCGGGCATGCTCCTCGACAGGAGGAATATGAACAACATACTCTTAACATAGTATGGGGACGATGTTTGAAGTACTATGTTGATGTATTTGTTTGTCCAAACTCCGCCTGTAGAGGGACATGCCCGACCTAACAGCAGCAGTTCGTTGATTATCCTCCCAGTGGCCGTCTTCGGTCCCGCTGGGCCATCAGAAGCTACTATAGGCCTCGCGACGAGGAGGAGGTCCTTCGTGAGCGCGAGGTCGAGTCGGGCCCGCGGCGACCGGTCCAGCAGTGGCGAAGTGTCCTGGCCGGCATTTAGGCCCGCCAAAGAATGTTCTAAGAACCTTTTCGTGGTCTGCGCGACATGTTTTTAGAACATTTCTGGCTGAGACTGTGTGTTCATACATCGGGCCTCTGTTTCAAGAACAGTTTTCTTGTTCTTAGAACATTCTTGTGTTCTGAGAGCATTTCTTCGTGGGAGGCACATGGGAATACCGGGACGGTCGGTCCTTGCTCAACCAGTGAGCCCCACGGGTGCAAGCCGTTCGGGTGTTGCCGATGCCAGACCTCCCAAGATACGCTTTGTTCAATCCTCCGTAGCCATTTTGGCTCAAGCCATTTCGGCTCAGGTTTGCATTGGATTCCGTATTAACTTAATTAACCCAAAGACTGTCTTTGCACCGATCATTGGAAGATGGAGTCGTGGATGCGATGCGCCATGTATATTTTCACAAACTTGATGCTTGGAACCGTTGTGTCATCATTGAAAGCGAGCGACTCGCCGCCGCAGGAACTTTCCAAAACATGCGGAGTATGCATTGCTGGATTAGCTCGAACATTCCCGGTGCCGTCTTTGCATCAACGCCAATGAAAGAACATTATTTCACTTTTGAAGCCAGACGGATGGAACACAAGCGTGTTCCTCTACTTAGCTTCAGAGGATGACCCTAGGTCTGGAGGTCAAGGAGTTTCTTTGCATGGTTTGGATCGTGCCGTTGCAGCTTTTGAGCCAGCAGGCTCTACGATCATTGCGCGTGATTCACCAGTGCCACACAATAGCCAATGCCGCCAAGACTGCTTCGACACGCAAAAAAAAATCACCAGATGGTACGGACAGTGGGGAAAAGTTCAGGGGTGCTACGACCTATTAACAAAGGCCGAGCACGACAACGGGCGCGTGTTCGATTACTTGCTTAAATTGCGTTCCGACTTGTTCATTACCAGTCCCATTACACCAAGCAAGCTGTTTGTGCCCCACACGCTCGTGGTGCCTCGAGGTTTGGTAGTCCATGGATCAGATGCAGTCAACGATTAGTTCGCTGGATGTGATAGGCAGAAGTGTGAGCCATACTTTCGAATGACGAAAACGTAGACATCTTACTCTGGTGGTTCTTTCAAGCAGTCTTTACACCTCTCAGACTGCCATAACTCTGAGAAAGTTTTGAACTCAAACCTGAAGGCTCACGGTATCCACGTCAGGGAGGAGTCGTTGATCATGACGATCATGCCAACATGCGATGGGCCGGCATGCCGCCGTATCGCACAAATGTGCCCTTATCACGACACAAGTCTTTGCTCCCAGTTGGCAGCCGAGTGCGTCAGAGAAAGCGAGAATGTAAATTGCACTGTCGACCCTGCGCGGTACGAGCGTTTTGTCGAGCAAGCAGAGGCGCGGGCGAGCCTTCAAGAGGTAAACGATTTTGTCCGCAAGATGGGTGGGATTCGTGCTGATGACTGACGAGGATGCGCTACATGAGTTCCTTAGTTCTGAGTGGGGAATCAGTCCTCTTGTGAAGCCAAGTCCTGGCCTGAAGCTCCATAAAAAAAAAAGATACGCTTTGTTCAATCCGGTTTGTTGTCCTGCATCTCGTCTTCCGCTGCCCGTTCCCAAGGCCCCAGGGCCATCAAATATGAATTTGGTGCGATAAGTTGGTCCCTATTGCTAGGATATCATTACAGTCGGTTGTACGGGTTGCTACATTCTTGCGAATATGTTCGCCAATTCCTTACCGCGGGTTACCGCGCGAAATGTGAGTCAACGTCAAATATAGTTGTTAATGTGTTCAGGTAAGTGTAGCGCGCTAGTCTGACCAGGTTCGCTAAAACCGCTAACCAGGTGAGCTATGCTTGATGAATCGGTTCGTCTAGCCCCTAACTATTCGAGCAGCACCACCGAGGTCTGCTAGCCAAGCTAGCCAAGAGTTGCTAGAGGCTGCTAACCAGATTCGCCAACCAGGTTAGCTTTGTTGTTGCAAGGTTTAGCTAAAGGGTTGAGCACATGTTGGAAGAGGTTAGCAAACACGGTTCCAACCCAGCTTTGCACCTTACCAAAACGTCACTAGACCACTAAGATAAGTTGCGCTAGCTGGTACAAAGGCAAGTTAAACATGAAGGTGCCTCTGCAAATTGGGTGCCCAAGCGAAGCTTCGCTGCTAATGCTTTACGAGGGATACATGTTCATGCTGAGGTTGATCGACAGGTTGATAACATGTTGCTAGGAGTTGGTAGGGGTTGCAGGAGGGTTGCGTACCAAGCGGCTTCAACCGTGAAATTTGTTCGCAAAACATGAGCTCATCCGAGCAGGGAAGGGATCGGGACGTCCTTGGGGCCGCGCGTTGACACAGTCACAGCGTGCGATGTCTGGGAACGCGTCAGAGGCCCAAGGTGCACACCCAGGATTTTTTCTTGGAGGCTCAGATGGCCTCTCATAGAGCACCCCATCACCAGGCCCGGAAAGGAGGATGATGAGGAGGAGGAGGAGGAGGAGGAGGAGGAGGGGATCCCAGGAGCTCCAGAGTGGCGCGAAAAGCTGGGGGCACCCTGCGCCAGAGGGACACCTCTGGCACCCTGCTCGAACCATCGGAACTGCGATCGGCCCCACCTGGCGACTCCAGAAGGGCAACAAGTCGGGCGGGAGAAGAAGCATCAATGATACGTTGCCGTTGGTAGGCTGTCAGTGCGCCACTCCCCCCCTCCTTGTCCGAGGGCTCGATGTTTCCTTAACAGGAAAACGCTCATGGATTCTCCACGGCGGCGTGCCATGAATATTGTTTTTGGTCATAAAAAAAGGTTCTTTCTCAATCTCTAACTTTCTCATACAATTCTGCGTAAAAAGGAACCTTGGCAGAGGTCCTCGCGGTTTTCCCAGGTCGTCGCTGCACACCCCCTGGCGAGGCACCCCCTCTTTTTGGCGCGCTTCGCGCTCCAGGTGGGGAGGGGGGGGGGGTCGCAGGGTTGGAGGTTGACACCAACACCAATATTGGCGGTGTGCTTCCACCGGGGGATGGCGGTCTCGATCTCGGTGATGGTGGTAATATTCGGGTTTCCTAGGCGGCCGAAAGATCACCACCAAGACCAAAATCTGGGATCGTCTTCCCCAGGTGGAGGCAAACCTCCGTGTTGGTGTTAGTGCCCATTTCCAAGCCTCCACGGGGGGAAGCTGGGCGCCGATTCGAGAGAATGAATGCGTATGTTGTTTGCATTCAGTCGAGCAGTGGCGAAGCGTCTTGGCTTGCCTGTAATCCCACCAGACAATGTTTTCAGAACCTCTTGTGGTTTCTATGAAATGTTCTTAGGACATGTCTGGCTGAGACTGTCTTGCTTTAGCACATCGGTTTATGTTCTAAGAACATTGTCCTTTGTCCTTGGGCAACTTTTAGGTTCTAAGAACATGTCGTGATAGGCCTATAGGAATGCCGGGACGGTCGGTCCCTGCTCAAAGGAATGTCCGCGCGGACCTTCGAAAGTGCATGTTCGTGCTGTCCCGTCGGCTTGAGAACGAACAAACGCTCCAGAAAAAGTTGTTCGCCATCCCTGGGGTCTGGAGGCCGTTTCGAGCGCAGAGCCAGCGTCGAAGCATACAATTCGCGAGGCCGCTAACCGTGTCAGCAACGTGTCTTGGAAGATGGGTCGTTCGGCCGTTCGCGCCAGATGGCTGAGCCCCGCAACATCACGCATGCACGGATGCACAGCATATTGAGTATTTATCGCTTATGGGTTACGTTGTTGTTTGAGGATGTTTTTTCCAGGTGCGGGCTACCATCCGTGTTCGGACAAGCGCTCTGGAGTCGCAAACGATTTGCGTCCATATGTCATTGTCAGCCGATCTTCTTTGCTCGTTGACTGCATGTTTTTCTAAATGCGCGATTATTGTTTCGGCATCTACCTACGCGAAATTCACAAGTTGCCGCCTGCAACACACCATGCAATTCAAGTGGTTTCGGCTCGATGCTGGCAACAACGTGTTGTTTGTGGGAGGCCCTCGGATTTCCAGTTAGGGTCCGATTGATGATTCATCAGGCTCGCCGATCGCACTGCCGCAGGACATCTGTTAAGAATATCTGTACTTGGCCTCGTCTTGGTGTTGGCCACTGCCTCAGGTTCATGGCCGACGCCTGTATTATCAAGCGGTTCAAGCAACTAGCATATGGCCGCTGCCACCCATGTGGCTACCACACATGCTCAACTATACCCGGTCGCGCCACAGCGCAGACTTCGTTCTAGTGCTTGCGTGT